TTTTACATACTCCTGTACGTCTTTGAACCATGCCAGGCCACATGTAGTCTCTGGAGATCAACTCCATTGTTTGTTGCCACCCAGGGTGCCCAGCCACTGGAGTGTCGTGATGTCTGTCTATTGCCTTGATCCTTGTGGACTCAGGCACATAGATTTTGTCTTTAAAATGGAAGAGCCCGTCTTCCCACAAATAGTTTTCATTGCCATTAAGGCGCGCCCTCTCTTCTGAGGAGATGTCTTTCTTGAAGACTTCTAGAAGATCGGAATCCTGCCCAATTCTAACATTGGCAACCCTTGATTAGTCTATCAGGGTAACACCTTTGTTATCATCTTCGATGCCGTTGGCATGATCCTCTCTTCTGGACAAAGTGTCCCGTTCCCCACTGAAGTTCCAGGCTTTTGAATTAATGTATAATCAAACCTCAACAAGTACACTGCGTAGCAGGCCTGTCTCTGGTTCAAGTCTTGGGCCGTCATAAAATACTCCAGATTCTTATGATCGGTCCAAATTTCAAATTGGTGCCTAGCACCTTCTAAGTAGTGCCGCCAGTGCTCTAGAGCTTCAATGATGGCCAGCATTTCCTTATCATAGATTTGATAGTTGCGCTCTGTAGGCGACAAGCTATGCGATAAATAGGCACAAGGCCTCCAAAGATCATATTAAGAACAAAGCTTGAAGGAAGTGTCTAGCCACTTGCTGAGAGCAATCAGGGACTGGAAACTAGAGTCCAATGTGAGTAACTTTATTATTAGAGAGTATGACAGGTATACAGTACCTAGAGTCCAATGTGGGTAACTAGAGAATAGGAAGCATTGGACTCTGCAGTACTGTCCGATGTTTTGTGAACAAAGGTAAACAAAGTAGCCACAAAGGCGAAATAATAGAAAACACAATCAATACTGAATGGTAGAGGAATAGATAGAGAAAGGAATGAAAATATAGAGGTAGCACAACTAGGTGCAGAATCACCAAAACTAACACTCCCCCCTGATGCTGCACCTCCCAAGCATCAGCTCCCCCCTGCTCTAATTAGTCCCATCATCTTCCTGAACACTTCGACTTTGGGCTTGGCAAGAGCCTTGGTCAACAAGTCAGCAGGCATTTCAGCAGTGGGAACAAAGGTAGGAGCAATCTGCCCAGAGTCAACAACATCTCTCAACCAGTGCCATCGCAAATCAAGGTGTTTCATCCGACCATGGTGCTCAGGATTCTTGGATACAGAGATGGCAGATTGGTTGTCAATGTGAAGGGTAGAAGGAGAGGTGATAGGATAGCCCATTTCCTTCAACAGATTTCGCATCCAGCAGATCTCTTTGCCAGCCTCAACAGCAGCAATATATTCTGCTTCAGTGGTGGATAGAGCAACAATGTTCTGAAGCTTGGAGCTCCAGGAGACAGCACCAGATCCCATCTTGACAATATAGGCACCAGTAGAACGACCAGAGTCCTTGTCACCACCATGATCAGCATCAGAGAAAGTGGTGAAGAGTTCAGTGGAATTGGGATCAGGACCAAGGACAAGGGAGTGATCAAGGGTGCCTTGCAAGTAGCAAAACAAGTGCTTGACAGCGCTCCAGTGAGTGAGACCAGGATTAGAGTTATATCTGGCAAGGACACCAACAGTGTAGGCAATGTCAGGACGAGTTGTGGTGGCCAAATACATCAGAGCACCAACAGCAGCAAGGTAGGGAATGTCCTTCATCATAGCAGCATCACTGGATGTCTTGGGAGACATGTCCTTGGTGAGGCGCAAACCAGGATCCATGGGAGTGGACACAGGTTTGCAGTCCTTCATGCCAAAGCGCTCCAGAATGTCCAGAGTGTACTGATGTTGGGACAAGGATATAGTGCAATTGCTGATGTCTCTGGTGATGGATATGCCAAGTAGGTAGGAAGTAGGGCCAAGATCACGAAGCTTGAAGTGCTGGGAGAGATCCTTGACAGCTTGGTCAAGTGCAGAAGTAGAGGTGGATGCCAGTGTCATGTCATCAACAAAGACAGGCAGGATAATGCGCACATCAGCTCTGTTAAAGACATAGATGGCAGAGTCTGAATAAGTACGCTTGAATCCGAGTTTTTCAAGCACAGTGTGCATCTTCTGGTTCCACATTCTGCCTCCCTGCTTTGTCCCATAGATGGCCTTGTCCAACTGGCAAACAAGATTGCGAGGACCCTGATGGAATCCCTCTGGCTGGTGCATGTAGACCTTGACATCCATGACTCTATTGAGGAATGCATGGGAAATGTCAATGGAGCGCAAATGGAGGTTGTGGATGGCTGCAATGGCAAGGACAACTCTGATGGACGATATACGGACAGTGGGTGCAAATATTTCGAGGAAATCAAAGCCAGGGCGCTGGTTATAACCTTTGGCCACATATCTGGCCTTGTAGCGCTCAACAGTGCCATCTGAGTTGCGCTTGATCTTGAAGACCCACTTGCCACGAATTGCCTTGACTCCAGGAGGTAGTTCCACTAGTGACCAAGTGCCATTGCGCTCATGAGCTTGGAGCTCTTCCATGGCTGCCTCTCTCCACTTGTTAGCATCTGGGTGCCTCATAGCGTCTGCAAACGACCTAGGTTCAGCAGAATCACCAAAGTGGGCCATTTGATCACCATCTGCCTCAGAATCACTGTCACTGTCAATGGCAGGAGTGGGTTCTCTGTGTTGAACCCACCACTCTCCAGGTGGTTTCTTAGCCCTAACAGGACGTCTGAGAGCAAGAGGCATATCAGGAGATGGTGAACGATGAAGAGGTTGGTCTGGGAGTACAGGAGGCTGATTTACAGGAGGTTCTGGATCAAGGTCCAAATGAGGCCCATTGTCAGGCAATGGCTGAGGCTGCTGAAGCGCAGCTGGTGGGCCCATATCTCCCCCTGGACCTGGTGCAGGCACATCCTCAATCAGGCCCAATGGCATGGATAGCGAAGGTGGAATGGGAGGTGGAGGTGGGACATTGTCAGAAGACCTCTTCAAGCCAGGGAAGTAGCGCTCATCAAAATCAGCTCTCTCAGAGATAACAGTGCGCTTGGTGGTAGGATTGTAGAATTTCCATCCCTTGTACCCCTCAGGGTAACCAATGAACACACATTTCTCCATATGAGAGCCAAAGACGCCCCTCTTGTCCTTTTGTACATGCACATAGGCAGTACAGCCCCAAACACGAAGGTGAGACATGTCAGGCTTGCGTCCATACCACAGCTCAAAGGGAGTGGCATGGGCCACTGCATCAGTGGGACACCTGTTCCAGACATGCACCAAAGCGGACAGACATTCACCCCAAAAGCTATTAGGCAATCCAGACTCTGATAACATGGCAGTGATACGCTCAGTCAGAAGTCTGTTTGCTCGCTCTGCCACACCGTTCTGCTGAGGACGATTCCTGGTGGTATGCTGTCTCACAATCCCATGGTCATCTGTGAATTGCTCAAATTCCTTGGACATGTACTCTCCCCCTTTGTCATCACGCAGAGCCTTGATTTTGCGCTCCAATTGAGTCTCAGCATAAGCCTTGAATCTCTTGAAAGCATCAAACACATCTGACTTGGCCTTGAGAGGCACAACAACACGGAATCGACTGTGATCATCAATGAAGGTGACCCAGTAGCGATAACCAGAGAATGTGGGGGAAGAGACTTGGTGTACATCAGAATGGATGAGGTCCAAAGGATGAGCAGAGCGAGTATCAGATGAGGGGAATGGATTGGCATGCATCTTGCCAGACAAGCACGGTTCACAGACAGGATCAGGAGCAGCCTTGGAGTCCAGTGTCAGCCCAGTAACCAGATCTCTCTGTATCAGTCTCTTGACATCAGCATGATGGTGATGAGCCAATCTGCGATGCCAGAGCGTCAAATCAAGTGGTATAGTCGCAGTAAAATGTCCCAATTCAACACAAGCAGCAGTAGATCCATCAAGGAATGCTGCATTGTTGTCATTGATAGTTGCAGTGAACAAGAGAGTGTTGTCACGCATAAAGGACATGGAATGAGACGAAATGGTGACATTGAAACCACTTTGACGAGTTAAATACAAGACTGAGAGGAGATTATTTCGAAGATCTGGTACATGGAGCACTCTAGAGAATTCCACAGCCCTAGCCACTTTGCCATTCATCACAGGATTAAACACCACAGTACCAACACCAGCTGAATAGACGACAGTGTGATCAGCCAGCTTGATTGGCACACGATATGGGGTATAGTGGTGCACCCAATGACGATGAGGTGTCATATGAGAAGTGGCACCTGTATCTGCATTCCAATCAATGTCAGCATCAAGTTGGAGAGGGCAATGAGGATCAGAGGGATGAATGGAACGAAGACTTGCATTTTCAGCTGATTCAGTGACCACAGTAGATGAATTGGCATTATTGGGCGAAGATTTGGGCTGCTGAGAGGTATTCTGAGAGTTGCTGGAGCCTGCCTGAGCCTTATTGCCACGCTTGTAGCGATTCTTAGCGCCCTCCACCGCCTGTTGGCGACTGATAATATATCTGTGGCATTTATCCTGGGTATGACCAAGTAAACCACAGAAATCACACTGAATGCGAGTAGAGGTGGTGGATTG